TATTTATATAAAAATAATGATATAAACATTTGTAGAATATGGTTTCCTTAGAATTTGTATATATTTTGCATAATTTGACAATTCTGTAAATAAAAGACATTTATTAAAAAAATAATAATAATAATTAATTAATTAAAAATAAAATGAAATAATATATAAATCATTTAATACAAATATGTATTTATTTATTTAATTAATTAAAAATAATATTATTTTTATTTATATAAAAATAATGATATAAACATTTGTAGAATATGGTTTCCTTAGAATTTGTATATATTTTGCATAATTTGACAATTCTGTAAAAATAAAATAAAATAAAATAAAAAAAATAAAGGCAGGTTGAAAAGTCTCCAGGACAGGTTTAAACTGGTCCTTCATGTAACAAGGAAAAAGTTTATTGTAGGTTAAAAAAATAAAAAAAAATCCCCGTAGTGGAAGAAACACCCTCATGTGGATTCATATTACGTTGTCATGCATTATTTATACATACACCTGCATGCTTCAAACATGATTTACAGGAAAAGTGTGTGGAGGACTGGCCTGAACACAGTCCAGAACTTTCTCCAGAATGGAAACCAGTAAGTTCTCTCTCATTATCTGAACTGTAGCACAGCAAACCGATGCACAGAAAGACTGAGATGCTCTGTGTCTGTTGCAGGCTGGCAAGCTCAGGCTTCGGAGAGACTCAGTACGGGTGAGTCCTTCCTTCAGATCACAGCTCTGTCTGCATGAGGGAAAAAAGCAGTTTTGTTTACTGAAATAAAGCTGAAATACAATTTATTGCAAATATTAGGTGAATTAGTTATTCCAAGGCAACATTTCTCAGTTTTGTTTAGGTCAACTTGAAGCACTAAAATTACTAACTGGAAATCAATAAAAACTACCTTAAACCAGTGTTATTTTATTATTATCAGTGTAGTATTATAGTTAATATGTTAATATACTATTATAGTTAATATAATGTTTATTTTAATTCAAGTAACACATTTATCATTTTAGTTTTAGTTATTGATAATAACCCTAAAAATTGAAGAAAAAAAAATAAACATAAAAAATGCAAATAAAAACTGAAAAGCACATAACAAAAAAAAGAAGAAAATTAAATGATGAGTAATAATAAAAAACATAATGAAAATAAAATACTAATACTAGTAATAGTAATAATCATAAATAAGCGATTGATTAAATAAATCATTTGATGGTAAAAACAAAATGGTAAATTTGAAAACTGATGGTAAATTGAAAGCTGAAAATGTATAAAAATAGAATCTAATATATAAAATATTAATAAAAACTATAATAGTATATAAATAATGCAAAAATAGCACTGATGTAGTGAAAACTTCTCAAATGGAGACCAAAATCATTTAACAAACAAACAAATAAACCTTTTTAAAACTTCAATTACATTTAATAATAATAATAATAATAATCATATTAAATTAAAATTAAAATAGAATATAAAATATTAGTAAAATAACTGATGTAGTTCCAAACTTCCCAAATGTAGACCTAAATAATTTAACCAAAAAAAGAAAATAAAGTTTGTAAAAACATTACATTTAATTTTATAGTAAATAAAAGAAATGCATAAAATAGCATTCATCTCTGCAGGCAATAATTAACCTCACAAAACATTGTGGTCGGCATATCTATCCTCAGCACAGTGCAGATTAATTCATGTAGTCTGTATTTTCTTTGAGCTTTTGTTGGTGTTTCAGATGAAGAGGTTGTGAAATGCACTGAACACATTAGCAAACACACAGTAATGTCGACTAGTAAACACACGAGCTAACATCAGTCACGCTCTAAAGATCTCTCTCATAACACTGTTGACTTCTGGCTCTAGATTACAGAGGCGTCTGATGGAGGCGCTGATCTGAAGAAGAACGGGAAGCAGGTACGATGTGAATCCGCGACCTCAGCGTGACTCTGAGCGTGTGCTTGTCCTCCTTCACGTGTGTTTGTGCATCTCTGCTGATCTTTCAGACTCTGGGAAGGAAACTGAGACACTCGCTGCTGATCAGGAGGAGCTCAAAGGTAAATAAAGACAAATCATGACGCTTGCTGAAGGAGAAGTGTGTGATTTATCCGCCACTACACTACTAGAAAAATATGAAAAATTCAAAAGATGTTAAATCTGTTAAATTCAATTAAAATTAAAAAGATGTTGGTAATTTTCTGTCAGGACATTGTCTGTTAAGTTTAAGAACAATTCCTTTAACCCCAAAACACAACATAATGTATAAAAAAATATTTCTGCCACATAGTAAAAATGGAAAAAAGGTAATTGTGACTTTATATCTCAAAGAAAAAAAAACTTGCAAGAAATAAACTCAGAATTGGGCTCTAAGGTACAAATTACAATTACAATAATTGTAAAAATTTTAAAATAAAATAATTTGTTATAAATAAAATATTTTTTATATTTTTAAATAATTATTTATAAATTATTTTATTCAAAATGAAACAAGTGTATTATATAATGATTTTTAAAATGTGTAACAATTTAATATATGATGTATTTATTGTAATTTATCAATTATAATATAAATAATATATAATGTATTATATACATTGCAATATTTTCCAGCTATTTAACAATTTAATTTAATTTAATTTAATTTAACCAGGCTTAGGGTTTTATTTTATTTATTTATTTATTTATTGTTTTATTTAATTTCCAGATTCATCTCCTGTAAACCAATTTTTATTTGAATGTTTCCAATACTTTTTCCAATGCTCTTTAACCCTGAGACAAAAGGCTGCTAATTTCACATTTTTGACACAATTTTCAAATTATGATTATAATAACCCTGTTTATTACTTACAAGAAATAAACTCAGAATTGTAGGAAATAAACTTAGAATGGTGAGAAAGTCAAAATTCCAAATTTATATATCACAGTTAATAACATGCAATTGAGAAAAAAGAAGAAAATCAGAATTGTACAATAAAAAGTTGCAATGACCTTTTTTATATATTTTTTTTTATTCTGTGCTGGAAATAAGTTTCCATAGCAATGCGATGCCTAAGTAAAAAGCAGGGTAAAACACCTGTGAAAAATCAATATGGAAAAATCCTTTATATCAACACCGTACATTGTGCCGTACACTTTCTTAACGCTTTATAGCATCAAAACACAGAACTGCAGAAATAATGAGTGTTTTACAGCCGCAGCTGGTCAGTGAGATGGCCAGTCCAGCAGCAGAATCACTCTAGTAGCTGTGCTGGTCGGGATGAAAGTCGCTAAAATCAACCTCTGAATGGCTTCATTATAGCTGTTTGTTTGTTTGTTTTTTTGCATGTTAACCTGGGGAAAAAGATTATACCATTAAAGAAATGACACCCATAAAAACTCAATGTCTGTGATTTCAGGATAAACCTGGAGATGAAGTGAAGAGCTCCGAGACGAATCGAGGCTCAAAGGTGAATATCTTCAACCTCAGATAACTGTCAGAGTCAGGTGTTTGTTTTGTAGATCTGCAGATCATATTCATTCTTTCTGTGATGTGTTATAGCTCATTAACGGCCCGGATGAGTTTTTGGCTCCAGGTGAAGAAGAAGAAGAGCAGAATGAAGCTGCCGAGTACAAATCGGTATGAAGCATTATTTCTGAATCATTATAGTTTCAGATTTATGTATTTCATAGCCGATTGTTTTTTCTCTTAACAGAAGAAACCGTCAAAACCCAAGATTATTACACACCGCAGAGGCTCTAAGGTAAAACATGATCTGTATGGATTTATTTTATTTTTATTTGAAAAAAAAAAAACATAATAAAAGATTTAAACAATATAATATTTATTTCATAAAATAAAGAATGATCTTCATAATTTTTACCTTTCAAATAATAAAATGATTTTCATTTAAAATATTTTTAAGTAAAGTTTTATAAAAAAAAAAATTTAAAACATTAAATAAGTATTATATAATATGTATATGCATTATATAATACTTATATAATTGAGTAATTTATAATTTATAAATGCATAATGTATACATTTATAATTTATACATTACATTATAAATAATATGTAAAATAATATAATGTATTATATGCATAATATATAAATAATAGAATGTATTAAATATATTGCAGTATTTCCCCAAAATAATATAATATAATTTAATTTAATGTAACTTAACTTAGCAAGATGTCTGTTAAAGATCTCTTCATCTGGAAAGCATCTGCTGTGTACAAACATCTGAAAGACGTCATATCATAAACATCTTAAAGACGTCTTCTAAACGTCTATTTGACATCTGAAAGGAAACGTCCTATAGACGGATTGCAGATGAGCAAACACTCTAAAAAATACGTCTTGCAGATGTAATGCAGACGTCAAACAGACGTCTCTGAGATACGTGTGTTATCAGGGATGCCATAAAGCCCTATCCGGACGTGTTTCTCATGTGTACGTCTGTAAAAATCTGCATGGCACCTCGCTGATAAAACTCATGCTTTCTGGTGGCGATTTATTCCCGGAGGAGGAGCGAGTTTTTTGGGAATGCGTGGTCAGTCGCATGATTGTGATGTGCTGCAAATAAAATTGCACATGTTCGGAATAATGAGAATAAAGTCATATGTAATGTAATAATAATATCATATTTAATATTTAATTATTACATTTCCTGTTTAAAAATAGGAAGATAGACGCGCTTTAGATTAAATGGTTTTCTGTCTTGCGTTTTATCTCAAAATCATGTTAAAAATGGGGGAAATAAGCGGGAATAAGTTAATGCAGCCTCTTATTTACATGACGTAAGCATAGCTTGGTTTCCCTTTCTCCTTTTTGTTCTTAAAGGGGTCCTATTATGCTCATTTACAAAGTCTTGATTTTGTTTTGGGGGTGTACTAGAACATGCTCTCATGCTTGATGGTTCGAAAAACGCATTATTTTTCACATAATTTACACTATTAAAGTACCTTTCTCCCCATCCTGGCACAAACGGCTCGATTAGTTCCGGCTTTGATGAATGTCCGCCTTCCGAAAAACAAAATGTGTTGTGATTGGTTAGCTGTCCCAGTGCGTTGTGATTGGCGAACAGCTTAGACGGTGTTTCAGTACTGCCCCACCCCTTGCTCCGTCTTTCAACAAAAGCTTTTTGGTGAATCCGGCACTGTACTCCCTCTGTACTGTTGTGGAAGCTGTCCTCAGTAAAATGCGCAGCCCACAATAGCAAATTGGGGTTATAATACTCAGGAACAGAGTTAAAAAATAAATTGCAACCACTGTTTCCTGACATTATCCGCTTTCGGAAGCCCAAACAAAGACGTTTGGGCACGGAGGTGAAAAAAACAGCGTTTCAGGCGGTCGCACACCGGAAGAGAAGCGCAGCGTCTCGTCTTTAAAATTCAAATACATTCGCCACGTCTTTAAAATTCAAATACATTATTTTCTATGAGTGTAGGCACACCGGCGGCGCCGTTCGGCATCTGTCCGCGGCGCCCAGCTACGTC